ACTTTTTCGCCGATAACTAATTTTATGTTTAGCCCTAATTTATGTTTAATGGAACTATGGAACTTATTTAATAGTTGAATAAATTGTGCTCAATTTTTAATTGTTTTTCTTCCTGTTTTAAGTTTTTGATTTGAGTAAGATAACCAAATTTGAGTACAGTAAAATATCTTCATATCAAGAAAAGCTTTGAGAACGGAACTGACCAGCCAAAATACTGACAGCCGAGTAACTGGACAAGACAGTTAGTGAATCAACTATCTTTTAAACGCGGAATAAAGTAAGATAATGTGTAAAATTGTGTTGCTTGCAAAATCTAGACAGAGACCACCGATAGCTATTTAAGTAAGCAATCGCTTATCTCTCTTATGCTTTTCTATAATTTCATCCTACTTCTGGTGCTTTTATAATTATATTTTAACAAAAGGCAGAGCGATGATGTCGGTCAGATAAGTGCATTTAGAGAGTCAGTGCTTCCGTAAAATTACTGAAATTATCAGCGGCCGATAAGATATGTCCATTGTCTTTTTTTGGTAGAAATGCTAGAAAAGTTTGAAAAAAAAAAACCTTTTTGACGATTTTGTAGAAAATAACTAGAAAAAAAACTATTTTGTTTTGGCTCGGGCCAAATCATTTTCAGCCAAAATTGAAAGCGGTGAATCAAAAATGGTGGTTGAAGTATGTTAGCGACAAAGCAAAACACTGAAACTGTTTATAATGAAGCTAATGAACTTAGAACTTTGTTTATTTTTTTGTTGATACTCTGTGTCAACAATAAACTATCAAAGTTAAACATTCGAGACCCAGTGAGTTGCGACCTCACTATCTGATTGCAATTCATACCCGCACCGAAGTTTCATGGGTAATAATCGATTATAATGGATTTTCGTTGACTAAAATGTTGTCTATATAATCGATTATCATGTCAAATTTAGACCACGTAATCGATTTTTAATCGATTATATTGATTATTTTGGAAAAATTTAAATCCATTATAATCCATTATAATCGATTATAATCCATTTTTGTTTTCAATATAATGGATTATTTTTTGTACATAAAATCCATGAAAATTGATTCAATTTTGTAAATAATGACTCTAATTTTTGCAACTTTCTGCAAAACTCGAACGAACGCGTTCATCCAGGGGCGGCCAATTTGTAGTAATTTTCAGATTTTCCAAAAAGTGGCCAAAAACTGCATTTTTGACCAGCTTCTCACGTCAACCCCCCGCCCCAACGTACCCCCCCAACGTACCCCCTAACCCACGACGTACCCCCGTCAAGTACTCCCATCCCCCCAACGTACCCCCCCCCCCACGTACCCCCCCCCCCCAACATACCCCCCCCCCCCCAACATACCCCCCCCCCAACGTATCCCCCCAACGTACACCCCCCCCCCCAACGTACCCCCCAACCCACGATGTCCCTCCCCCCAACGTACCCCCATCCCCCCACGTTTTCACCAACCACGACGTACCCTCCCCCTCTCTCTAGTTTGGGGACATATAACTGTAGTACGGGTAAGCATGGGGGGAGTTGGTGTGGGATCTATAGGTAACTTTTTGTAACTTTTCATAACTCGATTGAAAATAGGAAAAAATGAAATTAAGCGAGAGATTAATTGGGATTTTATTGCTCAAAAAAATATTATCATTATAATCCATTTTCAATCGATTGTAATCGATTATTTTTTGTTATTTTGTACAGGCTGACAATGAAAATCCAATATAATCGATTATTATCCATGAAACTTCAGTGCGGGTAATAACGGAGTCCACGCTGATAGTCATATAGTAATCTCTCTTAACTTGAAAATATAGATGTCTTTCAATCTATTAGTTCTCCTACATGATAACAACTAACTTTGAGTAGAGAGTGATTCTATGCTCTCAAACACCCCCCTAATATGCGTATCATTTAAACTTCACAATAACGCGCTGGACCCACTACCTGTTAAAGCAAACGAACTTTTGATTTACGAACTTGGGTTATTCTTTTGTTGATATTAAGTCAACATTAAACTAGCAAGGTCACGCATTCGGGACCTAGTGAGTTGCGAACCCATTTTTTATGATTGCAATCCTTCAGACATACTAACTAATCCAAACAGAGAATCAAGCTGACAAACTACGAGAAAAGCTTGTCAACTCTTGAAGGTGAAGGGAAACAGCGCATAACATTGTCTGCCAAAAAATTGCTCGTTCAGAACCTTTCTTGAAATCAAATAAACCATCATTAGACTCTAAGCAAGAAAATTGTCAGAATCCCTCAAAAATTGATAAATTGCAGTTGGTGGCATAAAAGGAGAACTGAGAGATAAATGCAGAAAAAGCAGTATGAAACATAACAGTGAAACTCTAAAAAATTAATAGCAGAGCGTTTAATAGAAATCGGTTCAGCAAAAATTTTTCTCACCGACACGGAAACTGAATTAAAACAATGAAAGTTTTTATTAAAATAAGCATCAATTCACAGTCCATGACACTCCTGAATAAAACGGACTGACTAGTAGAACGCTGCAAACCAACACTGGTTGAAATGGCCAGATGCTTTTTGTTCAAACACAACTTTGTAAAACATATTGAGTTAGAGCTATAGAAACAGCTAATCAATTTCGCAATTGCGTAAAAAAGAACAATAAAAAAAACTTCAGGAATTCAAAAAACCAGAATTAACCAATTGATTTTAAAAAAGTAATGTTCGGATGTCTTGCTTATGAGAAACCAAATTATGGCCCGAAATCAAAACTTAATTCAAGGGCACAAAAACAAAACCTTCTTGAATGCGATGCTGATAGTACAGCTTTTTCAGGCGAAAAACAGACAACAGACGCGTTTACAGAGCAAGGAAAGTTACTGTTAAAAAAATCCCCTGTTCAACATGAAACTACGGATGAACAATGTCAAAGTACTATTTTTCAATTTTTGATCTTAGCTCAAGCAATGAGTTAAGCCGACTTAGCGAAGCGAACATACAAGCAGTAAAACCCGGTAAATTAAAAAAAAATCATAAAAACAAGCAGAAATTGAATAATCAAACAATGAAATCAGTAGAAAAAGAAAAAGAGGAACAAATTGGGAAAACTAACGAAATTTCAGGAACACATCGAGAATAACTTACAGTAACTTCTAAAACAAAAGTTGCAATTCAGCTCTTTGAATCTAGGTTTTCAAAATTTTTAGTCAAAAAAGTAACTAGAAAGCGTCGTCACGGATTGCAGTCGCATTGCTTTTGAATCCGTGTAAGTCAGGTGGTGAAACCTGTTATTTCAGGTTTGTTTGTAGTTTTTACTTCCGAAGCAACGATTCACAATTTACTTTGAATAATTCTTTGAATCCTTCTTTGAGTATGCTTCTATGCTTCACCCGCACCAAAATTTTATGGATAAAAATGAATTTTAATGGACATTGGTGGACAAAAATTTTGGCTATATAATCGATATCATTGCAAACTTAGACAAAATTATGGATTTCTAGTCCATTTTAATCAATAGTTTTTGAAAAACCAAATCCCACTATAATGCACTATAATCTATTATAATCCAATTTTGTTTTCAATAATATTGTATATTTTTGTGCACAAAATCGATGAAAACTGATTAATTTTTGTAGCTAACAACTCTAATTTTTGCAATTTTTTGTAAAACACGAACGAACACGTTTGTAGTAATGGCATTTTTGACCAGTTTTTTTTTCACGAAATTTCCAGTCCCCCCTCCCCCCCCCCCCCCCTCACTACTCACTACCCCCATCATGCCCCTCGCTACTTCCCAAACCCCCCACGTCCACCCCCTATGCCCCCCATGTCCTCATGTGTCCTAAACTACGTACCCCCACTTCATACCCCTTCCCCCACCAACCCCCCACTTGGTACCCTTTCCCCCACGTACCCCCCCCCCCCGCATGTACCCCCCCCCCCCCCCCCCCACATAACGCCCACCCCACCTACCCCACCCCCACTAAACACCCCCACCGGGACAGGTAACTGTAGTACGGGTGAACGTGGGGGGAAAGGGGGCTGTGGGATCTATAGGTAATTTTTTGTAAATTTTCATAAAGGCGATCAAAGGAAAAAAAGAAATTTAGCGAGAGAATAACTAACTTAAGTTTAACAATATTATGAAAAAATGAAAACAACACACAAAAAGATATAAATAAATGTATTATATTCGATTATAATCAATTGAAATTGATTATTTTTCTTTTGATAAAACTTTTTGAAATTAAGTTGAAAAATATCGATTATATTGCAATTTTATTGCTTAAAAAACAGTATTATTATAATCTTTTTTCAATCGTGGATTATAATCGATTATTTTTGTTATTTTATAAAGACTGACAATGAAAATCCAATATAATTGAATATTATCCATGAAACTTCAGTGCGGGTAACGGCTTGAATCTAGAGTTCAGAGAGAAAGAGATTTGACGTTAATTTTACGTTAACCCACCCCACCTACGCCCCCTGTACCGGCTTTTGATTATATATATTTTTTCATTCTCATTTAAAAACGCAATCTTTCTTATATCATGAAAATTACCTCACTCTCTATGAAAAAAATTTCGCGACATCTGCGTTCTACCTGCTTCTGGATTATTTTGGTCTAAAATTGTGAAAAAGATGAAAAATTGAGACTATTTTTACTTAAAAATGAAAAAGATGTCATTATCGTTCAGCCTAATTTTTGTGCAATTGGTGTTTAAAAAGTTTTAAAGTCACTATAATTGCCGCCATTATCTGAAATTGGCTTTTCTTCAGCAACAACTGATTGCAAAATATGGCAATAAGATGATCATTTGGCTTTGTATCCTTCCCCACCATTTCGTTCTGGAACTTTGGAGAAAAATTTTATTGCACCAACTGATTGACAAACTTTTAAGAGTTGTTTATTCTTTTCCAGCTGGAGCAGTGTTAAAAATCGGAAATGTGAGGTGAGATTTTGTGACGAACGTTAGGGATGATGTGTCGAATTACAGGGCAACGCTGCACAGGGTGGTTTTGGTAAGAATAAACGGAACAACTGTTCTTTTTATAGTCCAATGAAATCAGCGAGCGTAAATTCATCTCTGAGGCAGCGTGATAAAATTTGGGAGACTTTAACCATTTTTTCTTCATCTCTACTTCAGCGCTCTTCTGTTTTTAGACTCCCTTCTGAAAAATTATCCCAATTGGTATTGAATAACATCGCCGGATAGCTTTGGATAGAGTCTGGTTATTATGCATGCCATTAATAGTATACCAACAACAACAAACATCACAGCACAAACAAATGGATTACTCTGATACTATCTGTAGTACAACTGATTACTGTGAAACAAGAGCCAGTAAAAAAAATGAAAGGCCTTCCATCTAAATCTCCACTTTTTTATGACTATTTGCGCCTGTTTTATTATGCCTATTATTGCTATTGTTTGATGGCCCTCTACTAACTGTTTGATCGATTATTTCTGCTGATTTATTTCTGATGGTAAATACTAAACATTTTCAACCAGCTATTGTTTCATCAAGCAACGGCTGTTGTTCACAAACCGTTAAGTTCCTTTGAATTCCATAATTGCATCTTTTTTCACTGCGAATATATCCAAAATAAAATCCTGCCGGACAAAATCCGTCAATCAACTAGATATTACCTCGCTATCTTCGAACTCTTATCAATATTTTGCATTGGCTACGGATAATTTTGACGTGAACTAACTTAAGGATAAAGAGTACACCACTTGTGAAAAACAATTATTTTAACTACCACTTATTTAAAAAGAAAAGGTAGTAAAATACCACTATTGGTCGCAAAAAATACCAGCGCAAATCTTTTCTTGTTTTTACGTTTCAGTGCATCAGCTTATAGTTATTGGTGTTTCTTTGTTGGTTCACACAAACACGAACAAGAGGATTTACAACAAGAGGAATAGGCTTGTTTTATAATCAAGACACGTGTTGATTTTTTTGAAAAGAACCCATAATTTTAATAATTCTCAGTGATTTCTTGTTTTGTTTAGACCTCCCCCTACGTTTTACAGCTGCAGCTCAAACGTCGGCTGATCCTAGTTTCGGAAAATTAACTTTTGTTTCAAAATTCTAAAGGTGAGCCTAACGAGGAAAGACTTGCTTGTCAGATTCAAATTGATCTTTTGTTTATTTTTGTTCCTATTGCTTAAACAGTCTTATGATCTTAACTCAACACTCTGTTTTTTCATCAAATTCCAATCTTAAAGCCTGTTTATTTCGAATGAAGTTTAAAAAATTCTACTAATAGTTTATTTTTGAAAGTGATAATGGAGAAATTAATTATAATTTTGTATGGCTTCGGCTGCATTCAGTTTATACTAAGAGGCGCTTCTTCAGCTTATATCAGCGAAACTTCATGTCCGCAAGTTTGTCAATGTCTCGACAAAGACGTGGGCTGCAACAACCTCAATCTATCGTCCCTTCCAGCTGATATTGACGTCTTAACCGAAAAACTCGAGTTAGCCGAAAATAAGTTATCAACTGAAAGTCTCAGTCTGAAATTTTTATCCTTCCCGAACTTAAAAAATCTCGATTTACGGGATAATTTCATCACAAATATAAACGAAGACCTGTTGCATGGTCTTCGAAACTCTCTGGAATATCTGGATCTATCTGGAAATGGAATCCAAAAGGTTGGCAAAAACTCTTTGGCCTCTTTGGCTAAGTTAAAATACCTCAAGATGAGTAGAAATGATCTATTTGAGGTTCCAAATTTGCCACAAAATTTACAAATTTTGGACCTTTCAGAAAACTTTAAAATTCAATCTCTGAGAAAAGATTCGTTTGACGGATTGAAAAGGTTGCAACACTTGATTTTGAATGACTGTGAAATTTACACTGTCGACGACGACGCTTTCGTTGACCAATCAGATCTAATTGATTTACAAATGAACGGAAACCCTCTTTACGAAGTGCCCTCGTTTTTACCCCCGTCTCTAAACACCATAAGTATGCAAGACAACCGGGTTCGATTCATAGGCGTGGGCGAATCACCGACCAACCCGTTTCGCAACTTGACCAGATTAGAGCGGTTGCTTCTTCAACGAAACTGGATAAGTTCGATCGGTGATACAGTTTTCAAATCAATGACTAGCTTACGTGAACTTGACTTGTCTGTTAACAGACTGAACAAGATACCATCTTTTCTCCCAAAAAGTCTGATGATTTTGGAGCTAGGGGGAAATATGCTGACCCAAATATCTCCAGATTCTGGTTTCACTTCGGTCCTCAATAACCCCTTCTTACAGCTCCCTTATTTATCCCAATTAGGTTTGAGTAATAACAGTTTGGCAAACTTTCCTGCTCGAATTTTACAGGAAAATAGACAGTTGTCTATTCTGGATTTGTCGCAAAATGATTTTACAGAAATTCCGAACATCTACTCGACTGCGAGACTTGAACTTAATTTGGACGAGAACCGAATCCGAGACTTGGACGAGAACGCGTTTAAAAACTGCGCCGATGTTAAAAAACTATTTTTAAATTCCAACCAAATTTCAAGAGTAGTTGGCGCTTCTATCGGACATTTAAAGCAGTTGAAAACGTTAGAATTACGCGGAAACGTTTTACGAGACTTGCCGATTTTCGTTTCAAGTCGTCTAGTTAACATCGATTTGAGTTATAACATGATTCAATACATAACCCCTACAACGTTTAACGACAGTAAATCCCTGAGTAAAATCAATCTGGAGAATAATGAGTTGTCGCAAATTCAGGAGTCAGTTTTTAAATTTTTACCCCGACTTAGATTTCTTTTTCTGGGCTCAAATAACATAATTGAACTGAATTTTCAAATTCCGGACAGTGTCTCTGAATTCCAAATTCATCATAACCAAATTGCAACCATCGGAAACCTGAGTGGTAAATTTTTCTCCCCAAAATCCTACCTGACGGCGCTCGATTTAAGTGCTAACAATATTCGCTCTATATCACCTGCCGCCTTTGCTAGCTTCAAATTTCTGACTGATTTATACCTTGACGATAATCGACTTTCGACGCTCAATTTCAAACTACCCCCTAGTGCGAAAAGAATTTCAGCGAGCAAAAACTCAGTCCGAAAACTTGAAGTTGGATCTCTGAGCGGACTTACACATGCTTATACGCTAGATCTAACCAGTAACAAAATTAGTTTGATTGAAAAGGGGTTTTTCCTGGCCTCTGAATTCAGAAAACGCGCCGAACAAGGTAACGTCCGACCCTTTGAACTTATTCTGGACAGCAATTATATCCAAACCATTAGCCGTGGCATATTTGAACCAATTTTAGATAACAAAATTAAGTTCAGTCTTTCGTTAAGCGAAAACCCGATACGCTGCAACTGCCTTTGGCAATGGCTTTCCAAAGAACTTGCCCTACCATATATGGAAGTTTCTGGCGACTGCTATTACCCAAACGAGCTACGAAACAGACTGATATCTTCGGTGCCAACTGATAAACTGCAGTGCTCAAAGCCAAAAATTAGAACGGAGGCTAAAAACATGCAGCTGACAACTAAGTTGGGTGCAACGGCGTCTCTGTCATGCGTGGCAGACGGCGAGCCTGTCCCCTTTTACACCTGGGCAATTCACTCAAACAGTGGCAATGACTTAATCACCCTCATCAATGATGAAGTATACGTAAGTTAAAATCATCCAATATTTTCCATTTTTTCTTTAACGTGTATCGTAAACAAGACAATTTCTTCTTCTATTTACCTTCTCTTCTTTGCCTTTTTTTTCAGGGGCAGATATAGATTTTCTCGGAGGAGGGCAAATTTTCAATTAATCTGGTTAATTGTAATTCATTTTCAGTTAGTTTCTAATATATTTGAAGACTATTTTCAGGCTGAGCAAAATGGTTTTCCGAGCTCTCCGGAAACCCTAATAAGGTCATACATTTTTGCACTGCTTTTTGCATGAAACGGGCAAAAATACCGATTTTTGCATACACTAGAATTAAACCGCTATGAAGTATAATACTGGTAATGGAGCAAAATCGTATAAACTTCGAATAGACTTTAACTTAAATGAGAGAATTAGTGATGAAAATTTCGGCTACATTTTCATCTCTCTCTGACATAATGGTTTTGACCTCAAAATTAAGTAGACGTCATACGTCAAACAAAACAGTAGTCATCAAACGTACAATTTCTTGTTTTCAGTTTGAAATAAAAGCTTGTATCACACTTCAAGTTCAACTTGAAAATAATTGCCATTCGAGGATTTCGACCCAAAATGTGTTCAAAGACAATGTTCCTTTGATTAGGGCTGCTTGACGTTTGATGTGTGTGCCGAAAACAAATATGAAGTTGCGTTTCCTTTCATCAGAAATGATAGCCTGGACTTGGTTCGCTCAATAAAAAACTTTCTACTAGCATAAGCTTTTGAGCGTCAATATGACCTCATAATTAACAATCAAATTATTTATGAATTGCAACAAACATATAAAACTGTCGCTCGAATTAAATATGATTTTTTTCCAGCCTGCGTTTGCAATTAAGTTGCGTTTATTTTTGTTCCGACCAACCCCAGGGTTGGAAAGGAACTTTGACCTCTATTGTATTTTTCTAGGCAAAATTAGATACCACAATAAACGTCAGATAGAGTCGAGTGATTATCATATTAAAACCTTTTCATTCGCTATTCGGAATCCGAAAAAAAACAAAAATGGCGTTTTGCAAAACTTTAAATCAGAATTAAATTTATTTGGAGCTAAGTTCAAAATCATTAAAAAGAAAGAAATTTTGAAAAAAATCCAAAAAAATGTACGTTTTTTTGCAAATACTAGCATTATCGGAACAATCCATACTAAATTGATGAGTCACAGGCAGGCTACCTTCGCTAGATTATGCAGTTGAGTCGTGTTATCAATGTTTTGAGCGAATATTTTACTGAAAGGCAGTTTCAAAAGACTTTGATGGAGATGGGCACCGTTTAGCTGCCGTGGTTTTTCGGTTCTGACAGTAGAATGGAAACCATCTAAATCAACTACCCATCATAAGTAAAAGAAATGATTGTTGTGCAGAAGCATTGAGTAACCCGATCACTGTAGTCACTAAGAAAAATCGTTTTCCAATTTTTTTAATATACAAAAACTTTTTTCGAATGATAAAATTTGGTCAAACTAAATCTATACTACTGCTTAGATTTTTCTTTTGTTTGATATGGAAAGTTTATTGAAGGAAAAGTTTACAAATTATTTTACGTTAATTGAAACTTCTACTTTTTGATCTTTAGCTGGATCAAAAAAATCAAGTGTTCAAAATTTTTTTAAAAAAGTTTCGATGCTAATTTGTTGATACAAAACAAAATACAGCATGCTTCAAATTTCCTGGAAACGGGTTGCCAGTGTTTTTTGAGCGTTTTGGCAGGGAAGCTGTTATTTAAAGAGCCAAATGGTAGACTAACCTAACCCACTGTGTAAAACATACCGTTCCTTTCTGTAAAAATAGAAACATAATAACATAATAAAACTAACCGTATATCAGGGCAAAACTGTGTTCCGATTGACTTTTAAGGCCTAATTAAAAAAAAAACTTTAAATTTTTTGAAAAAATCGAAAAATCATAAAAATAAAGAAAAAAAATTACTAAGCTTAAAAAAACTTCTTTAAATGATTTTTCGATTTTTTTCCGATTTTTTTTTGATTTTCATTCTATTGTTCTCACATAATTCACTCTCTCTTTTGAGGGTTAAAAAAATGTTTCCACTAACTTTTAAACTATTATCATAAAAAACTTCGACTAGAGAATATTTCCATAAAATAAAAGAAATAAATTCAGTTTGTGATTATGATGTGCATTTGGGACACAAATTTCAAAAATAAATAATTAATTTTATACTTGCTCCCTTAGTTATACATGTTTAGTCTAAAAATCAATTGTGATCAAACAACAATTAGTTGCGATCAATCCTGTCATATAGCATCGGGTGGGTTTACCTTTTGGTTGAATATATTTGTAATATATAGTGAAGTTGCACTTGATTTGGTAAATTCATGTGGCGAAAGATAAGAACTTGCTATTGAGTTTTCCGAATATAAACTCTGGAGAAATGGATAACATGTTTCTAAAAATGAAACAAAAAAACAAAAAATGAAATGTTTCTAAAAATGAAACAAAAAAACTAAAAATGAAAAAGTTCTTAAGAGAATTTACCCAAAAATTGTAGAAAAGAGTTTCTAATTTACATTAGTAATGTTCCTTTCTTACAATTTATATAGAAAGTTTTCCTATGTTACAATTTTCTTTAGAAAGAAAGATGATTTTTCTTGTATCATTTTTGAAGCTAAATTTGTAACATGCTGTAGAAAAGTTCTGAGGGTAATTTTGGTCAATTCGGGAGAAAGACCGACCAGTGTTCGCTTTAAAAATGATATGAGTTTCAAAGTTTTTGTCCAAAATCATTCAACCACACGCTTATGTTAGGTACTAAACGATATATTTGGCATATAGCAAAGTATTGAGTAGACCAACATTACGAGGCCAAACTGTGCAGTGGATAGGCGCACAATTTTGTGTCTGTATGTTCCTGGATTCCAGAGACAAACCTTTAAATATGTTTAATTTTTGACGGAACGAACAAAAAAATAAAGAACAAAAGAAGAACAAAGGAAGCGTCCTTGTTACGGAATCCACTTACATTTCCCAAAAAAACCACAGTTTGGCCTCGTAATGAATTATCTTGCCTCAATTTAGTTTCCAACTTTTTTAATGATAGATTAATGCTCCGCTTACGCGTTCATGGCACAAAAATATCGAGCGTTAACTATCTCAAATGAACCCTCAAAACTTTAAAAAAGTAATATAATTGAAAAATATTTTCAAAATTAAGCTCAAGATATAAAATAATTTTTGAATGAAACAAAATCTTTAGTCAAAATGCTAATTAAGAAGTCAAGATTTTTTTCTGTACAAAAAAAAACGAGAACATTGTTCGAAAGTCGAAACTCAAATTGATTTTTCAGATGTATAAAAGGCATCAGAGTACCAAAAAAAAATATTCTTTCAAGGAAATCTTAAGTTGTTTTTGCAAACAACAATCAAACTCTGCAGTTAAGTAAGCAAATTGGACTAGCTATGGCTCTACTCGAACTGCTATCTCTAAATGCTAGTGGATCCTTCTTAGGAAACAATTAGAACAAATTATTTTTGTTCAGATTGATACTTTTGTTTTATTGGCTCGAACTCTTTACGTTAAATTGTGATAGTTGTTTCTCCTTCAAAAATATTTGGAAACCGAATGTGATTTTGTTTTGCTTTTTTTTTTCGATACTTGACTCTACTCTGATTAAACTGTTCTGATCAAAATTACTTTCAACTTTTTATTAAACGTGTTTTTTCTTCGAGTTGAAGTTGTCCTGACTATTTTTTCACAGCCTTCTGGAAAAAAAATGTGTTGAGGATTTTTCTGCAGTTTCATTTGTAATTATTCTGAAGCATAGAATGCGACCGCATATCGGAAACTATAAATATTGGAAAAAATGCTTAACTCTTAGTAGTTGTTGATTAATTATTAACCTACAGACAATCCTTATCAAGTTTCATCAGGTACCGGAAACTATTAATAATTAGGAAGAAGCTTTATGTTATTGTTTTTTATAAATATATGTATATGGGATTATTTCTTTCAGCTATGAATTGACATGACTGCCCGTATCAATACGAAGCGCTGAATGTTCCGGCTTATCGTGACGTCGATGAAACAAATTTTGGATACTTTTCTTTTTAGCCCCAGCCTAGATACAAGAAAATTATAATCCTTCCACATTCTAATTTTTTTTATAGCGGGGCTACAATTTGTTGGGCACAATAAAGTGAAAACCTTTTTTTAATCTTTTTTTTTCTCTTTTCTTCCCCTCATACGCTATGTTAAGTACAATGAGATATATTTTGCGCTGCTTAGCGTGTAATTAATTTGTTTACCTCAATTCTATTCGAAAAGATTTGTTTGCCCTGTTGATTCGATGCACGCCTTAATGGGACGAAATTCAGGAAGGCATACGTTCCTCTAGCTCAGAGATTTGAACCCCCACCACTCAGAGAGTCCCACATTAGTACTGTTTAAGGTATCCCGTTTTACTTTTTGGCCAACGAACATTACAACTTTATCTTAAGGCGAGTACGGCGCTAATATTTGATGGTAAATTTAAGGGGAGTGCGTGGAATAATCTTTCAATTTTTATTATGAACAATTTTGTTGATCGTTATTTTTTTGTTCATTGTAATTGTCATCTTTATAATCTATAATTATGACGAGGAAAAGAAATAGCACAAAGACTTTACACTTCTGCCGCATATGAAGAACTCTATTGTTAGTAACAAAATACCTACTGAGTGTGTTTTTCAAAGGCTTGAAAAAGCATAACAAAAAGGTTAATCTAAAACTATTTTCTAAAATTTCAGCAACAATTTCACGGATTGGCCGATATGCTCTTAATCGTAGAAAAAACTTTTCCGTGTCTCTTCACATAACATTTGAGCGAACTAGTCTCACTTTAATTTTAAATGAGTTCTCAGCCAAGTTGCCAAGTTGAGAGACTAGACTGCATTTGCTACTCATTAACAGTGTTGGAAATGTCGTGAGCACTGATTGTCCTAAATTAGGCTGATAACCTCAGACCTCAAAACCTCGCAAAA